GGCACACTGCTATGAGAAGGAATCACCAACAGGTGTTAACATGTACTTCAACCTCGTTTCTATGCTGAGTCTCGATTGCCCGCAGCTTATCTGTCTCGCGCGTCCCGTTCTTTCCTACGCCATTACTTCCAAGCGCCATTACTCTCAAGCTCGCGCGCCCCGCCCTTTCACTTCGGCAAGCTATTATGGCAGGGAAATACTAAATATCTGTAGGCAGGGGTTCTAGGCAGGTCATAGAACATTCAACACCATTTTCCAAGTGAGGCATAAAAAATTTTCTCTGACCTATCCCTTCCTTCCGAACTTTGCTCGTGTTTTGTATCGGCGGATCCAAAAAAAAATTGATTTAGGGCTGGGTCGGGTTGGAGATTTAATTTGAGGTCAGGAGAAAAGAGGGTCGGGTATTTGGGGTAACAAAGAGTAAGTGTATGTGGGGTAATAAGCGGGGTGGGGGAAGGTGCATACAGGGAGCCCACTCTGGACGGGTCGGTTGTCTTTTGGTCCTAAACAGTTTAGACTTTAGACTATCAGCACAGGTAGCCCAAGCTCGAAATATGAGCACCGGCGAGCATCGGCATTGTTGCGTAACATTCAAAATATAAGGATTTGTATGGGCAAAAAACCTATCGTTCTGTAACCTACGAAAATGAAAGGATTTCAATAAAAAACAGCTTACCTTACTTAAAATGTGTGTTACGTCTCTCCTGTGTGGTCCACGGGCCGATTTATGGCCGTTTTATGGGTTTTTATGTAAACGGTTTTCCCTAAACCTTTATATAGAGAGATTTATGGCCGATTTATGGCCGTTTTATGGTTTTTTATGTAAACGGTTTTTCTAAACCTTTATATATAGAGAGAAAACCGTTTACATAAAACCCATAAGACGGCCTTAAATCGGCCCGTGGACCACACAGGAGAGACGTGCTATCAGTCATGCATCAATGCCAAGATCAGCTTTGTCTTATCTGTCATGAACGAAAACATAAAAACAATAGGCCTTCCATCTCGTATATTTTCGCGTTTTGTATTCATGAGAGAGATCTCAACTCCGGAACTCTAAGCTTACATTCATACTTTGCTCCATTTGTGAATACGGTCAGTTCCACTAAGAAAGACTGATAATGTTTCATCTGTTCTTCTTGATGACTTTGACCATTTTCTTGGCCGCTTCCTTCGGAACTTCGCAGAACAATTCTTCATATCAGGTAACTTTACAGCGAACCAAGTTTTAAAGCATTCAACTTTTCCCAGATTATTCCCGAGAATCTTTGTTTGCAAGGGAACTATTCAGATGCGGTTTTCTTAGCTTTCTAGACTCAGCAACACTGTTTTTATGCGTTTCCAGGTTCTTTTAGATTGATAATCCGTTCAATATCTTGGTTGCAAACTAGAAACTCAGCTACCAGAGATACAAATTTAATTTATCATCGATTTTACAGGATATAGCATTCAGGGCTTTAGATACAGCTCATGGGCTAGGCTATCGTCAGTTTTCATGAGATTATTAAAGGCAAAAACAAAATAGTTGCACTCCGCGCGAAAACCCAGGGGTTTGAAAAAAGGGGGGTAAAATTAAGGTGTTCGATTGGTAAGGGGAAAATAGCTAGGTTTGGTTTGCATTTTTATATCGGAAGGTCTGAACAACCGGGGGTCCGAGAAATTTCGCGTTAACAACGCGCAAAATAACACGCGACTGTGTGAACGCAGTGAACGCATCGCTCTTTCTCTCGTTACCAGTCTCCTCTCAATGAGAAACAAACGCCAGTGTCAATATTTGCCAACCAGGCAAAATTGTAAAAGTTATGTTATATCCTCTGCCTTGTTCGACTCCTAAAATAATCCTCGGGAAGCAGAGCGTCAATCAGAGAAGCTTTTATGAAGATTGATTGTTATAATTGGCCGTTTAATAATCTTTACAATAAACGTGAGGTCTAAGCTGAGCTCAGGTGAGTTTTTACTCTTTGACGACTGTTTTGTACGGTGGCCCATAAGGGACATCTCGATATTTTTCATTTCCACTTAAAGAATTTGCGATTTGACTTACTCTCGATCAAAGTTAATAAATAGCAATACAAACTTATATCTCTCGATTTCGACTTAAAACTCGCGATGGTAAGTTATAACTCTCGATCGCAACTTATAACCCGCGACCGCCACTTATAACTCGTAATTGCGACTTACAACTCGCGATCGCCACTTATAACTCCCGTTCGCTACTTACGATTCGCGATCGCTACTTATAACTCGCGATCGCCACTTATAATTCGCGATCGCCACTTCTAACTCGCGATTGTCTGTTAAAACTTGCCATCGCCAGTTATAACTCGCGATCGCCAGTTGTAACTCGCGATCGCCACTTGTAACTCGCGATCGCGACTTACAACCCGCTATCGCTAGTTATAACTCGCGATCGCCAGTTGTAACTCGCGATCGCGACTTACAACTCGCTATCCACTTTTAACTCGCGATCGCCAGTTAAAACTTGGAGGGTTGTCCAATACACCCGCACCGTAACGGTCCGTATAAGCCATGTGTCGATCCGTACAGATCGAACGGATCGACAAAGGGGTATACGGTCCGTAAAGGGTGTTTTACGGTCCGTAAATCGCATTTCATTAGTGGTACGTAGAATATTTTCACGGCAAGAGTGGTGATATACGGTTTCTCGATCCGTACGGATCGAACGGATCGACAACAGGGGTATACGGTCTGTAAAGAGCGTTTTACGGTCCGTAAATCGCATCTCATTAGTGGGACTTAGAATATTTTCATGGCAAGAGTGGTCATATACGGTTTGTCGATCCGTACGGTTCGAACGGATCGACTACAGGGGTATACGGTCTGTAAAGAGAGTTTTACGGTCCGTAAATCGCATCTCATTAGTGGGACGTAGGATGTTTTCATGGCAAGAGTGGTTATATACGGTTTGTCGATCCGTACGGATCGAACGGATCGACAAAAGGGGTATACGGTCTGTAAAGTGGATTTTACGGTCCGTAAATCGCATCTCATTAGTGGGACTTAGGATATTTTCATGGCAAGAGTGGGTATTTACCGTTTTTCGATCTGTAAGGACGGTACGGACCGACGAAAGGGGTATAAGGTTTGTGAAGATCTCTTTCGGTCCGTAAAGTGCACGAGGCTCACTTTGGGGATCATTGGGTCCCTATAACTTAGGAGATAGATTGTAAGAGAGATATTCAGTACTATGATGCTGTAAACTCGAGGTAGTGTAATTGCAAATATTATGATAATTTTACATGGACTGTTATGTATACTCAGTGTTCAAAGTGCAATATTTTACAATCTCTTGGCTAAAATTCTATCGTAACTAACTGCATTACAGTGTTCACTTTCTTTACTTTTTGCCCTTTTTCAGCACGCGTTTTTTCTTGAGTACCCTTTACGGTGTCTAAGTTGGCGACCCGAAACGAATATTTCAAACCATATCATGGGTTACAACTTATGTGTATTGGTGAAATGTTACTCTTGATTTGAACTGTATTTTCTTCCTTTTCAAACATTATAGCACAAGACAAATTTGGAAAATATGAATTAAACCAAGGATAAAATTGATCCACAACACAAAATTGAACTGGAACATATACATGTACTAGATTGTGGGTTAAGTAGCATTTTTTTTAGCAGCAGGTACATCATAGGAAAGGTTAATTGTAAAAAAGTATGCTGTCACTTGTGTTTCGGGTGGGTCAATATTTGGAATTATTTACAACTTTGAGATGTCAGTGATCTTAAACAAGAAAGAAAATTATGATGGTAAGGGCCCGTAGGAGATGAGAGTTTTTTTTGATCCGCCGATTTCACGTTGAAAATGACGTTTTGCAAGCCAGATTGTGCGCAGGAAAATGATGCGTAACAATAATAAGAGAGGACGTGAGAAAAAATAAAATGTGAATAATAAATGCCCCCATGATATATTAGCAATGAGATGTGAAAAAATTATAAAGAAACAGAAAGGTGTGACAAAATTAAATGCTTAAAGTTAGTAAACAGTCGATGGTGATTGGTTGCTACTATCACACATATTGATTAACGCGTGGTCTCAAACAACCATTTTCCCACTGTTGAATAATACTGAGAAACCATAACTCTACTATTGTGGGGACATGTCTTGGGTCGACGAATATAGAGAGACCATCAGATACCTGTCAAAGGCAGAAGTTCTACTTTGACGTAGACCACAACAAACTTTTGTATTTAAATAAACTACCGAAACAGTAATCACAGCACCAACAAGACGAACTATCGAGTGTGTAGCCTTTTTCTACCACGAAGGTGCCAAAGGCGATAACTTCTTTCAAAAAAATAAGTTTCGATGCTGCGTCGATTCCAGTCAGTGGGGAAGTGTGGTGAAACTACGCGAGCACGTTCGGTAAGTTTTATATTTGGTTTATACACGAACTGATATAAATTATGTTCTTGGAAGCTATTTCAGCTAGTTTGCTTGTCTTGATCGTTAACTTAATAGACCTTTTCACGGTTGCTGTCGCCATCTTGGTTGAGGGCAAACACGGCAAAATTTACAATAACTGTATGGTAAAAGTCGGGAGTTTGATACTCTATAATTTGAGGATCTTTGAGGAAAGTTGACTTTCTGAAATTTCTATGATTTACCAACTAAAGATACTAGTAAAACAGTTAACCAATTAAGTTTGAAGGGCATCGGTTCGCTGAGAAGCGAGAAGTCTTACTTTTAGTTTTCATACAAATGCTTCTACGTTTTCCCGCTAACGGCAGCTCCATTTTACTGACAAATATCTTCTTGAAAATCGTCAAGTTAGTTGTTTTGCCGATTTAATGTTCTAGTTCTTTTGCTGGGCTGCACGTAACTGCAAAAGAGCTGGGGCTAGGAGAAAGCATCGCTATAAAGTTGAACAGAGGCTCCCGAGTATCTGGCCGTCAAGAGCGATATCAGATAGAGACTGACAGGCAGTTAGAATTAGAGATGCCATCGATTTTTAAATGGCGTGGACAAGTTGATGGGTAAGCATGTGTAACCGTGCTCATTAAGACGATTTTAGAGCCATACCCTTTAAAAGCTTCAAACTAACTGTAAAATTTTTTCTATTAATAGTCATGGTGTATCCAGTAAAATTAGTGTTCTCCACGAAAACACCAATTATTAGAATTACCACAAAAGACGGTGACAGGTCCTACAGGAACACTTCCGGTAACACAAATCCTAAAGCGTCGTCCAGCGCAGCTACGCTACCGATGTCAAAGACCTTGTCTGACGATGAGCTTGGAAAGCTTAACATCGGTACGTTTAAGTTTCAAATTATTGCTGTGGAGTGAGAGCAGGGAGCGAGCAGTAGTTATAATCAGAGTTTAATGTAAATCTATGCAGAATCTAGATTTTGACCACACTATTTTTTAAAGTATAGTTGTGGGAAAATAAAGTGTAGGCAGCAAGAAATTTATCTTTTATTGATAGCACGGTTTTATTTTATACAGATCTTCAAAAGCTTGATGGAAGCAGTGTTGTTTTGTCGTCCACAAAAACTATTGCTAAGTACAAAGGCCAATTAGTGACATGGCCGTTTCACATCAAATGCGGGTTATGTGGAGTTGAAAGACAGGTGGACATTCATCGTAAGCACAGTGGAATCATTTCGAAATTTAAGTTGGGTAGGTTGTTTTATATACATCAACGACAACAACAATTAAGTTGATATTTCCACAATGTATACATATTATTACCTAAAGGAAAAGTACAAAATAGGCACCGCACAGGCCCATGTGACTATTGCTTCCGATTTCTTTTGAGGGGGGGAGGGGGTGGGGGGGCTGTGCACAGACTATTTAGAAGGTGAAAAAATACAATGTATAATTTCCCACTATTCATCAGAATTTTGGGGGGTTGTCCCTCTCCCCCTCTGAAGCCTACGACCACAAGATATACGCTTGTTGCGCTCAAACCATACCTGGTGTAAGTCAAAACGTAATTCAACACAACTGGTGTTTGGATTAGCTCGTCGTGTAGTCCATGTAGCTCATGCGGGTACTTTGAACTCTTACATAATTGACTCCTATCGGCCATAAATAGAGCCTAACACCGAGCTTTGCTTCTTTTTTTTTTTTTAGCACATTACAGCCGCTGCAAGGAGAGCTCTGCAAAAACTAAAAAGTGTACTCGGTCTAAATTAAGCTTTACCAACAAGAGAAAGGCTCCTACGAGTGATCCCATGACGTCAGAAGGAGAGGTGGTTTGCCTTACAGATCAACAACCATGAAAAAAGGCTAAGTCCTCGCAAGACTCGGACGTCGACAGCTCTGACCTGGAGTAAATATACTGAAACCTGAAGAAATGGGACTTCTCTCAGAAAAGTTATCAGCGGGATATTCAAAACTTAATCTAACTTTATCATTTTCCTCACAAGTTGTTTATAATGCAAAATAAGTTACAAACTGAGCTGTCCCGTTTCTCCTGATGTTTTACATAATACCTTTCACTATCAGTTTATGTCACCAGTACTCAGTATTTAGTGGGGGATTCTTCTATTATGAACTTCTTATCAATAATTCATTTCAAAAATGAGGTTCAAAAGTATTAAGATCTTAAATGACCTTTTTAAGCGATTTACGATCTGATTGAAGAATAACTTACAGTGTCTGTTAAAGGGATTTTGTGGTAGGAATGGAGACCGAATAACTAATCAAACCTGTTCAGTTGCTAGTCGATCGTGTAATAGCAATTTTGGCACATTTTATGTAATAGCTTTGTCTTAACTATTCTAGATGAAACTTTATTTAAAAAGTAGGACAAGGACTACTTTCAGTTATTAGTAAACTTATAAGGTTAAGTTAAAGTCTAGTAATCACAATACTTAATTTAGTATCCGTGTAACTTCTTTCTGACTTATAGTTCTAGTTGTATGTTACTATCGTTTGATAAAGATAAAGAAACTACGAATAGACAAGATTTTGCTTGTTTAATATCAAGTAAAATGCATTTTTATTAAACGTTCTGTGTTGTAATTTCGTTGCCTTTCTTTCTTCAATTGTAGACCATTTGGGGAAAATGAAAGTGACATTGAATCTAATAGCGATGACAGTGTTTGTAGAAACAAATCCCTTCAATACTCCCTCGAAGAAAGTGAGGAGGAAAGAAGTGACTCGACTGACAGGTCTGACAATAAAAGCAACTCTGATAGCGAGATAGACAAAGATGACAGTGCCTCCTTCATTTACGGTGTTGAGTCAGCAGACCCGGTATGCGTAAAACTAAATGACTTAATCCGCAGAGGAAAGATTGAAAAGTCTCGTATATTTTATAAATATTTGAAAGATGTGCTTGACGTTTATTACGATCCTCTGCACAAGTATGATAAGGATGTTATCGAATTTTTTAATTCCATTACTTATCTCGGAGGGAGGAAAGTCGCTTGCTTCATTAGAGGCCCCATTAACTGCAAGGAAGGAAGAGGAAGTCATCTCAACACCAACAACGAAAAGAGGATGAATCTCGGGGGACCCGCATATAAGACATGCCTCAAACATCAAGCTGGCTATACAAACAAACCTGGAGTCTGGAAACCGCTGTCGTTAGGCCATCTAAGTCTATTACAAATATTTAACTCCCTTCCAGTTCTCAAAACGGGTGAGCTAATTGCATATCCCTGCTGTTTGGCCAACGATGGAACCGCGCTTAAACCAGCTATCGAGTTTGACGAAAGGCTTAAGGAAAATGTGGGATTAACAAGAAATCTAAAAATTGACTTCGTCAAAAGTAATCCCCAACCTACAACTGCATTTCTTAAAGATAACTTGGTTACCGAGGCCATCGTTTCCTCTGTGACCAGTCTTGATAACAAATGTAGTCTACCGTGCGCTATAGAGTACGCAACAAAAGCAGGAAAGACTGCAGAATCCTGCAAGGAAATGTTCGAAAAGCAAGTACGAATCCTGCAGACGTGCGAGGCTTGTCAAAAGAGATCTCTCGCCACAAAGCACATTCTCGGGCATTGCTATGAACAGTGCCAAAGCTTTTGTGAAACATGCTTTGGTATGAAAGAACTGTGCGAAGAGTGCAAAGCAAAAGGTCATGTAAGCTACCATCCAGCAATTCGTGCTTGCTCATGGTGCCTTGAGAACGGTGCGCAGTGTGTAAGGAGAGTAATATTTGTTATTGTGGCGGATTGCGAAACAGGCAACAAAGGGGCTTTTATACTGATACGAAAGAGTATCGAGGAGGGAACAATAGATGCTTATCTTTCTCTCCTAACCATTTTACCCGACTGTCCCCACGTAGGAAAAAGCTTAAAGGCCTCCTTTAGTAACTGGTGGCTTAAGTTATGTAATGAGCGCGGCAACCTTGGCTTGCTTCGTACCCTTAGGAATCGTGCCGGTAGTGCCACTATGACCACAATGAGGAAACTTGTTCAACGGAACGATCACGTAAAGAACAAGGACCGGCAAGATCCAGCTGCCGTACTGACCTTATGTTCAGAAGATTTAACCTCGTTTCTATCTAACGTAGGTCATGTATGCCACACAATCATTCCGGAGCTGGACAAGTTCACGGAAAACAACCGTCTTGGGATGTACCCCAGCCCTATAAGTGTTGCCGTCGGAAAGTACGGATGGCTGTTGTTTCTGACATGGGACAGCAAGCAGGGCTCTTCAATCCTTCATCGTGCTCGTCTGCACAGCCCTGTTGACAAGATATCAGTTGTCAAAAAGAATCTCCCTTCAAATCAGTTGCAATGTGTTCAAGATGTAGCATTCCTTTCTTCACAGGATGGTCCTGTGTTAGTGGTTGAGCTTGAAAAAAACAACTGTTACCTTACACCAAGCAAGATAACATCATCAAAGAGATGGGACGAGCTGAAGCAACAGTTTAGCCTGACAATGACTGGAACTTTGGTTGAAATTCGCAAGCAAGCTGATCGTTTCCTACAAAGCAAAGAGAAGGAGTATTCGACGAATGGACACGACAGGGAGCAAATAAACTTCCAGGACAAAGCCGTGCAGGACCACATTCAGGCAATCACGCTGATTGACCGCGAGCTTATGTACCTGGCGGCTGCAAGCTCAAAGAGAATTTGAAGCGCCCAACTTAAATATGACGGTTATGGAATCTGTGCCACAAATGTCCAGGAAGTAATAGGGTATGGCGAGGGCTGGGAATGTGTCACCAGTGTTTCCATTTGCCGCAACAAGTTATTTGCTTCACACGCTGAAGGAATATCTGTGGTGTGTCTTGAGTCGCATCAATGCCATGCTGTCTACAGGTCAAATCATGCCAAATGCACGGTGGTGCCCTTCAAAAATGGTGCTCTCTTTACCGATCAACAAAAAGCGACCCTCTACCAGATCGACGAAGAGGAAAATATTCATATATTTGCTGGCAGTGAAACAGAAGGTTCTCTTGATGGACTTGTCGCAGAATGCAAGTTCAAGCAACCAATGGGAATTGTCGTGGAGTTTGACAACGTTGTCTACATGTGTGATCCACAGTCAAATTGTGTTAAAGTGATGAAGCCCCTCTCCCAAACTGCCAAGTTTTTAAGTGCGATAGGAAAGTTGTACGACGCATTCTCTGTCCATAAGAAAGGTCAGAGTGTCCAAACAAGAACCTTGCAAGAGGCTGAGAGCAGGATCACAGAGTGCAAACGCTTCCTTTCTGAGCTGGAAAGAGCCGTGCGCTCTGAAGACGGTTGTTCCAATATATCGCTTAATGGACCACAGGGTATGGTTTCCGCTGTTACTGTGAAATCGGTTGACCTTCTTGACTGGGGTGTACGAAGACTGAAGTCTCTCTTATCCAGTCTGTCGTTCGATGACACAAGTCTCCTTAGCTGTATGACTTTGGATGTTGAACATTTTCATTCCCCGTCTCATGTAAAACATCCATTTCTTTCCAAAAAAGAATATTGCCGAGACTTTGGAAACACCGTCAAGGAGACTATAAAGCGGCTCTCTTCCTCCTCGTTTTATTACTTCACCAGCGAAAAGAGCTCGTGGTATCCAGAGCCAGAGCACGATATCCCGCTCTCTGCACTACCTTCCATTCCTCCACTTCCAGACGTAAAACTGTCCCAAAAGGAAATCGGTCAAATGCGAGATTATGCATTGACGTATGGAGCTGCTGTGAGGCAGAGAACCAACCGCCAAGAAACCACTATGGCACGGCATGGAACAATGCCTGAGCTTATCTACCAAAGGCAACTAGAGATATCTGCAGACAAGGTAGATGTTTCAACAGGTATAGGCCGTAGATCATCGATGCCATCAACAGATACACAAACGTGCAATGATGAAATTGAAAACGCAGCTATCAGTGATACTGACGAGATACCAGAGTATGACAGCAGCTGTGATGAAGAGCAAGTCGAGGAAGGTGCTGCTGTTTTGGAACTAGACAGGGCATCAACCTTTCTTGTTGGAGTTTCCACTCGCTTTGGGAGACAAGTTCGAATAAACAACAGACTCATTTCGTAAAAGGTAAAGCTTCGTGCCAAGTGGCCCATACTGCCGGAGCTTATCCCGGTTTCCGTAGCATTAAGCAGCTTGGAATATTTCTACTCCCCTCTGGATGGGATGCTAGTCGATCGCAGGGTTACCCCCAGCATTATTTCGCCGGTACCCATTTATACACCTGGGTGGAGAGTAAAGTGTCTTGCCCAAGAACACAACGCCGTGCCTCGGCCAGGGCTCGAACTCGGACCGTCCGCTCCAGAGTCCAGCGCACTAACCATTAGCCCACAGCGCTTCCCACATTCACTTCGTAAGATGAGAGTTATTTTCCGTAATCACGTCCGCTAGACTGTTATACTGGATTTTTGAGCCCTCAGATTTCATGCTAGGATTGACGGCGACTCATGGACTATTAAAAAATCAAATTTACAAATTGATCGGTGAAATGATAAACTGGATTTTGCTCCTTATATTTAATGCTAGGATTGACGATCATTGAGTACAAAACAAACTACAAGTAAATGAAACTCTGTATCTGAACCGGAAAACAAATGCAGTTTGCCGTGGCTAACCCTTTTACCCGTCTGTTGCCGCTAAGTGGGAACATATTTGTGTGAAAAAGATCTCAAGATCTCAAGACTTCCAAGATGAACCATGGAAAATACTTACTGGTAAGCAAATTACCATGAAGTTGAGTTCTGCCTCTTCCGAATTTTGCGGCTCGACTAGAAGCATGTCCAAAGTGATGTCAGTAAGTAAATACCTGATACTTTCATTTTGCACGCTTGCATACTATTTGATAAGTCAAATCTGTATTGTTGGAAGAAACATTATAAGCTCTGTCCCTAATGCTTAATGTTTTGAAGCTGTAACGAAAACTTGTTAAACATGAAGTCCCGCATCTGTTGCGATTACAGAACAACTATATTAAATAATTCATTTTTTCATGCTAAAACGCTACTTTCTATATACCACGAAAATTTTTTTAAAGTAACACGGATTCGGATTTGAACAAAAATTAAGTCGGATCGACGGATCGGGCCAAAAAATACCACGGATCGGCGGATTTGCATACCCCTATTCACCCCCTCTATTACTGACAAGGTTTGGTGACTGAGTAGAGCATACAAGTGTAGCCCACGTCGAGGTTTCAGGGGGTCTGCTTTTGTTTGTATCTGTATCTTGCTAAGCTTTTGTCATTAAATTTGTACAAGATCTTGTGATCACAATTCTGTGTTTTCGCCCATTCAGCAAGCGCGCTATATTGATGTCAGCATTAGCGAGTTTCAGAAACATGCCTTTGACAATTTTCAACTCTCGTGATGTTTCTTGATATTTCTTTTTACCATTTTATGGAGATGTAAACTGAAGTCACCGAAAAATGGAAACTAAAAAAAAGCGTATAATCCATTTATCTCGAAATATAACACACATGACTTATACGACCTTTATTTTCGTAAAGGTGTTTTGAATACGAACGAACACAGTCAATGTGAGGGAAAAAAACAGCATTAATATAAATGAACCATAGGATTTTAACTAATATAAGGGTCAATTATTGTGCATTGAGATGAATCGCTTGAAAAGAGAGACTTCGCTTGAAGATGTGATCAGAAGTAAACAAAGGCATAATAGTGCGTCACGTTCAGTCTTTTAATATCCAAGGAGTCACTGTGAATAGTGTTTCCATATTGTTTAGCTGGCACAAAAACCTCGGACGAGTTATAAAGCGGCATAGTTATCTTCCATGAAGAAAAGTTAGTCTTGGCTGAGACAAACAGAACTGGAGCGAATTTTTAACTCACATCGGTATCAGGTAAAAAAAATATGTTATCGATCGTTTCATCTATTTACATTGTTTGAAGTGCGTGCTGGTGAACGCAACATGCGAGCGAGAAATCTTTAAACTTTTTTAGGTCTCAGAATGCAAAGGATTTTATTCCTTTAAGTAAGAGAAAAATACCGTGAGGAAAATCTTAAAACTGAATACTTTTCATCTTGTGGAAAAAAATAGTGCGTTTTCATGTAGACTGTGGACCGCAAATTAGGATCGCATTTTTCACAAACATGCGAATTCTGAAGTTAGGAACCCAACCGACGATTGCGTTTTTTCGCTGCTGTCAATCATCTTAACGGACCTCTTAGGAAACAAAACATTACTTCACGGGTTCAAAAGGTCATGGTTTGTGATTTGTGGATTTCGATCCGTTTTGTGTGTTTCTCTGTTTCAAGGTTCGTTACTTGTAATCGTAATTATGATTGACGGCAGTGGTAAACACAATTGTGAAGGTGGCTTTTGAACTTTAGAGTTCGCATGTTTGTGAAAAGCGCAGTAAAGTCTCCGTGCAGTCAGTGAGGCCCCTGGACCAGGCGGGATCAATGGGCAGTTAACTGTCTGTTTTAGTATACTTCTGGTTTTCATACAATACAATATTTCTGTCTAGTGTAAATCAGCTCAGTCTGTCGCATTTTATGCTCGTAGAAGGACAACAATTTTTGGAATTTCCGGTTACGTCAAATTAGTCACGTTATACTGTCACGCTATATTTTGGGGCACAGAGAGATTGGGGGCGGGAGGGGTGCGTGTAAATAATGCAAATTGTTTCCTGTTTAGAATTAATGGCTAACTTGTTTATTTTTATTCATAATGGTGGAATTTAAAAGTTATTATACAGCCCCCACTTAAAAATGGTACTCTTTTTTTTGGTTACGAAAGTCTTTCAAAAGGGTACAATGTTCTGAATGAGTTTATGTTTCAGTCTCACATGAGATTCTGTTGCATGCAATGGTTGCCGACAAGGTTTTATGGTAGCCTGAGAGTGTATAGCCGCCCCCTCCCCTCAGAAAAAATAGCCCCTTTGCAGCCCAGTTAAAAATCGCCTTTCGGCGATTCTTGTATTAGTTATAAACTTATTGACGATTGTTCTTCGATTTGAAGCGCGCTTCTTTTGGTTTTTCACTTACAAGAACATCACATTTAGACACAAGCATAAAACCTATAGCGTGCATACCGTGGTTTTTGGGTTGTTTTGATTTACAGAAGAAGGAAAATTACATTTGGAGTGTGCCTTTCTTGGTTTTTGTGCTTGCGTTGGTTTATGGTTTATAGAACGAGGAATATTACACTTGGAGTGCGCCTTTCTTGGTTTTTGCGCTTGTGTTGGTTTATGGTTTATAGAACGACGAATATTACATTTGGAGTGTGCCATTCTTGGTTTTTGCGCTTGTGTTGGTTTATGGTTTATAGAACGAGGAATATTACATTTGGAGGGCGCCTTTCTTGGTTTTTGCGCTTGTGTTGGTTTATCGTTTATAGAACGAGGAATATTACAGTTGGAGTGCGCCTCTCTTGCCGTGCGGATCGTACGGATCGAACAAACCGTATCGCATTGTGCCTTGATGTAATAACGAGATGCATGCTCCGTATGTCTACGGACTGTACGGATCGAACGAACCGTAACGCATTGTGCCCTGATGTAATAATGAGATGCACGGTCCGTATGTCTTCGGACCGTACGGATCGAACGAACCGTAACGCAATGTACCCTGATGTAATAATGAGATGCACGCTCCGTATGTCTTCGGACCGTACGGATCGAAGGAACCGTAACGCATTGTGTCCTCATGTAATAATAAGATGCACGCTCCGTATGTGCTCAGCATACGGACCGTGAGTAATAGTGACGGTTTGTGCAGAACGTACGGTCCGTTAACTGCTCTTAACGGTCCGTAACAGTGCGGCAGTATTGGACATGACTGAAAACTTGCCATCGCCAGTTATAACTCGCGATCCCCAGTTATATCTCGCTATCGCCATTTATAATTCGCGATCGCCACTTATAACTCGCGATCGCTACTTATAACTCCTCATTTTATTATATATGTTTTCTATCTACGACCACATCGACCCCACATCGACCCTACACCAACCCCACATTGACACTACATCGACCTTTATACATCGACCCTACATCGATCCCACATCGAGCCTACACTAAACTTTTTTTTTTTCAACACTGCTTCGTAAATAATGAGACTATATACTACCACCGCCACATTTCTATTGTTTTCCCACCGCCACCACCACCACCACTAGCCTGCGTAGCAAGCGTTTCCTCGCGAAGGAACGCACACGGAACGCAAAGGAACGCACCAACGAGGCTTAATTTCCAACATAGTAGACTACTCACTTCAGAGTAGCTGAAACCAAGACCAAAGTAGTCCTCTATCAAGGTGTCTCCACCTCCATTGCCTCTACGTAAATTAGGAATATAATTTGGAAAAGCTCCACAGGCATTAAGTGTGAAAAGAGTGATCAGAAAAGTCACAGCAAAGTAATTCCGTGTAACAACCGCTATGTCGCATTGTCCCGATGGCTGTACCGAATATGCGCACGCTCACTTGCTGGAGTGCAAAGCCATCCTCTAATGCACCTATCAATGTAAAGCCGGCGGGTGGGGGGCAGGGCATGGGGGTGGGGATTTGATTGTCTTTGTTGGCCCTGGGGTAGGGCATTTGACTGATCTTGTTCTCCCAGGGGAGGGGATATTTGAATCTTTCTTCGCCCGACGTGGAGATATTTGACTGCCAACTCGGACGAAAAAGTCTTAGACCGCACGTTTTCCACTTCCACGCTTCACGCATGCGCCGTACGGTCTGGAAAGATCAGGAAGTCATGGAGGCTAATGAGAACAAGCGAAGGCTGAGTGGATTTCACTATTTTGTCTTCAAATTTCGTTTGTTTTAGGGTGTTTTTGATCAATTGAACGTCTTAAAATACTGTGGTATCAAAGTAAACGGAAGTAAAGAGAAATCAAGTCGAATTTTCGAAGTACAATTGATTAGTGTATAGCTCATTGGCTACTATCACAGAAAAATTATAAAACTGACTTTCTTTGTACCTTTTACTAAGAACGGTATATTTAAACTTACAAAATGTGGACTTTCTGCTAAAGGTTTATGTATTCTACGCAATGTCACACGGATTATGGTTAAAACGTATAATTGCAGCTGTAACGGGAACA